GTCAGGCAGCAGAAGAAATTACTAGCAATTCTGTGTATAGTGTGTAGCTGCCTGGAATCCTACAAGCTGTTTCATGCTATGTGGGCTATCCAAATGCAGTATTTTTAAATTTGAGACTCTGACATCAACTAAGAACTGTGATGAGCAAAGATGCTTGTACAATTCTCTTGACCAGAAGAATAATTAAAAAAAAAAAAAAGGTTCAATATGTTTACAGGAAAGCCATTGTAGAGGACAGTCAGTGTGGCACAGATGTTGACAATTTGGAATGATGTCCTTCTCAATGACTTTCTGCCTAAACTGCTTTGTATGCTGTTACCAAGAAATGTACCATAACTCACCTGAGACAAGTTTTTATTAGCGTTTTACTGCAAGTTAGGTATCATGGAACTTACGTTTTAGCACTTTAGCTTACGGTTCCTCTATTAAAATATGATGCTGTGTTCACTCAGTAATAAATTCTAGCAGTTGCAGATCCTTTTTACGTTCAGGTTGTTACCTTGTAATAAAATATTGTCAGGTACACTGGAATCTTTCAATTATTAGGACAGTATATTAATTGCTTCTTTCTAACTTTAGACTTGAATTAGCCAAGTCTCCAAACTGATTTACTTCTGCGCAAGACCTAAGAAAAAATATGTTTCGTTTATCCGTTTTGTATGTTTAAAGTTTATATGGCAATCTGTGGTGCAGAAAAACTGTAAGCAATGATTTACCATGTCTCTGCAGTTGTCCTTTGGGATTCTAGGTATGGCTAAAATGCACATTTATGAAATGTGTTTGTGGTGATGAAGGGACATACAACCATTTCAGAAAAAAGTGCATGACTTAACTGTTAGACGTATGTGGCATGTGACAGGTAGTAAAGGGAGTAGTGGAAGGGTGAAACTGGGAGGTGAGCCATTAGACTAAGCTAAAGTCTTATCTAACCATAGTCTTATGACACTCTGTTTTTTTTTATTTCCCTTCTGCACTATATCTCCTATTTGGACAATATATGTAAAAATTAGTTTGTTTGCTCCCTTATTCAAAGAATTTGAAGTGAGGTTCATTCTCAGCCTGCACAAAAGTAATAGGACCCCCCAGCTGTTCATAGCAGAAGCTGGCAGAAAGGCAAAAGTGGGAAATCTAACAGGAGATGAGTTAGGTCTTGTTTTCAAGATCAGGGTTAGCTGAAGAACTAGGTGCTCCCCTGGCATCCTTTAAAGCAATACATAAATTTTGAAGCCATTTAGACAAAAACTAATGACAATACAGTTAGGTGGTTGGTGTAGAAGTTAAATACTGACAGAATTCTAGTCAAACATAAAAGTTGTTAGGGTAGGTAGTTGATAAAACTGTGATGCAAGTGGCTTTAAGTCCCTGTGTTTTCACATTGTTGGCTTCCACCCGTCTGCTTTAGTGAAAATACTGTTTCTGAAGTCTCTGTTTTCTTTTAAACTAAATCTTAGGTCAATACTTGTCTTCAAAACACTTGTCTCAAATTTGCTGTCTCTTGATTTCCATAGCTGTATATGTGGTTCTGCCCTATATTCCTTTTGGCTTACGTCTTTCCAGTGCTTTTTTGAATGACTCCCCTCCTCTCCATGTACCGGGGAGTAACACCAGTCTGGTCCCTGTGGTCACCCTCTCTTGTGCTGCAGTCTGTCTCTAGACGAGATTATTTTTAGGCATTAATCTGACCAACATTTCTGTTTGACTCGTGCTGGTCACTTGTACCCTGAGCTGTAGTTTCTGATCTCATCTGGTTGGTGTCCAGCACCACTGGAAGCCCAGCGTGGCTGGGGCAGAGCTCCTGTTCTTGACCCAGCACGTTGGACTCTTGAGCCGACTTTCTTTGGTCTGGCTCCCACCACCGCTGAAGCACCGGCTGCTGCAGCAACCGTTGTCTCGACAGCCAGAATGTAACAAAGCCTTTAAAAATGTTCTGGTTTGGATGTCCCCCACTTCTTTCCACTTGCAGCTTTCCATTGTACGTGAAATTTCTTATGGCCTCCTGTTATATTGGAGTTGTGGCTCAGTAGAAGAAGAAGGAGGTATAAAGGTCCGTTGTCTGCTAAAACTTCAAGAGCAGTACTGAAATTATTGTCAGTGATGAGTGCTAAAGCATTCGCTTAAGATAGATGGGTGAGGATAGCATAAAATTCGAGTTGTCTTCCTCCTTAATTAATAAATTTGTTCATCTGTTGGAGTACAGAATTGATAACACAAGCTTATTTAAATATTCCTAATAATAACTTACCAATATTTTCTGTTACACACCGTTATATGGAACAAGATGATTTGCCAAGTTTTCAGTCTAGTTTTTAGTACTGGTCAGTGTCTAAGTAACTGCAGAATGAGTTCAAGTCAGGGGAGCAAGTCCATAGATGTTCTGTATAAATTATGCATATCCTTGTAAACATAACTGTTACAGAAGATGTGTTTTGGTAAGCATTCAAGTCTCTGAAATGTTTTGCTCTGTAACTGCCCTTCTTGAGAGAAGAAAACACATCATTATTTATAAGGCTGCTGTAGCCCCTGTCATTAAGGTATGGAGAACATCTCTGCGTCTTCTAAATTGCAACTTTAAAAATAACCTTATTGCTTTTAATATTTACAATATGGTTTAGAAAAGTTGCTGGCTTTTCTGAGCAGAGCAGGCTGGCAAAGAGTGCGTCTGTAACCTGCGTAAAGAGGCTGCGTTGGTTTGGTGGGGGCTCTCGGCGTCGCTATAGCCGCTCGTCCAGCAGCGTCCGAGCTCTTTCACAGAGACTGTTTGTTGGCCTTGGAGTGCTCTGTTCCTCGGCTTCAAATGTCGGATACAGACATTCTCTGTTAGAAACTCAATATGCGTAGTATAAAACTAACATAATGATTTCTTCCTCTCATTCTTGCGTTTTTTACAAAAATCAGTTTAAGATCATACCAGTAACCATTTGATTTCATCATGGGAGAAATGCTGGATTTGGATAAGGGCGCTTGTCGTGTCATCTAAGTGGAATCAAAGGAGGAGAACGATGCATTAAAAATAACCTGTTCAGTGTAAATGGGTGTATGTTGTCGCTGTTCTGGATAAGAAATTTACCACTTTCTTTCATATGAAAGTATTCCTTTCTGTGAAGTGGGTGACAAGGAGCAGTTTCAGGTTTCCTTTGTTAAGGAGGCTGCTCTGAGAGGTGGCGGCCGCTGCTCCGTACAGTTTGTCTGTGTGGACTGGCGTGAGCAGAGGTGTTGCAGCTGCAGAACATACACGTTCCTGTCTCATTTTCGTATAGCACCTTTCTGGTAAGGCACAGCACTTTATTCATTCTTTCTATTCTTAGGCCTTACATATTTATATTAACTTGTTTATTATATGCCAGCATTTGATATGGAACTACATTCTCTTTGGCTGTTTCTTATTGCAAAGTTTTACTTACTTTGAGCGAATGTTTTATTTAATCTTTTTTTTAAAAACAATTTGGAGTTCTTTTGTATTGTTACTGCTGCCAACAGTACCTTTAATACAAATCTAATAGCAATTAGAAAAAATAATATGCCTACTATAGTGTTTATTTTTCTGCCCTTAGTTTAAAAAATATCCTAAGATGAAAAGAACTCTTTATTAAAAAAGAAAAAAGGCAGAGGCATCACATCAAATCCCTACTGGAAAATAGTTTTTAATATTACTAAAGACAAGGTATACAGCAACATCTCTTGATGAGTGTCAAAGAGACCATTTTAATCTCTAGGGTTTCATCAGTTCATAATTCTGCAAGTTGTTGCTATTTAAGTGACAAAATGATTTTTACTGTATCTCATAAGTGATAGCTGGGCATGAGTATTGGGCAGTTCTTTAGGGAGGAATTTGTCTTGGTAGAAATGCTCAGTGTTAGGGAGAGGAAGAAAGAAAAAGAAGAAAGCACTACCGGAATGGTAGAAGAAGCATTCGTTTGCTGGGAAACTGGAATAGGTTTAAGCACTTGTAATATTCTTTAGAAGATTTCTTGTCTTGACAGGTATCTGTATAACCAAAGGATAATATAATTTAAAATTAATCCTTTTCTTTATTTATTTTTTCCCATAAAATAAAGATCTCTAGTCTTTTTCTGTAAGGTGGAAAAAAGGAAGATTCATTTCTCTCAAATGTCCCTTGGAACCTGTTCCATTTACTCTTTCGCCATTGTAAATTGATTCTTGGCAATTTATATACTAGTGCTACAGATCCGAGCAATTTTCAGGTAAAACAGAAGTGATCAATCATTCTTGTGACTGCAGTATGGGGTGAGGGTGGGGGAAGTGATTCCATGGAAATGATATTTTTTTGGAGTACCACTTCCCAACTCCTCCTGTGACTGATTTAATCTGGCAGAAGGATGACTTCAGCGGTGATGCCTGCTTTAATGTGCTGTATAATTAGTCATGAGACCTAGTTTTCTTTCTGGCAAGCAGTAAATAAGCTTGGGTTTATTTCTGTATTACAGAATAGTAGTTGAAACAGCCATTAGAAAAATGGTTTTGGTAAACTTTTCTTTGAAAACACCCTTATGTTCTGAGAAGAACGACCCTGTGGACTTCGAGGCAAGTGAGGCAAGGATCCAATGCAAAAGAAAATTGTTAATAACACAGTAATTATGTGGTGATCAGGAACCGTGTTGTCCACACATAGAACCAGACCAGCTGCGCAAGCTTCATTCCGGCCTCCTCAAATGCTGCTGTTCACCTTTGATAAGAGACCAGTTACGTTTGTGTGCAAGAGCATCCTTCATTTTTAGCTGGCAGTGGAGGGCCAGAGGGCCGAGGAGGGGGTGGGCAGCAGTGGGTACCTGGTGAGGGGCGGACGGCCACCCGTGCCATGGGGCCTGTGGGCATCCTTGTTTTGAAGATAATGTGCTGAATCAGCAGTACCTTTTCTTCTAGGGCCTGTTTTAGGATTACTTGTTCACTGTTTGCTCTAAGACCCAATTTTTTTTTTTGTTATTATATTTGCTTTTCTTAACAAGCACAGAAGTAACGAGAGCTTCTCTGTTTCTCTGCAGCTTTTACGAGAGCTGAAGCACCCCAACGTGATTGCGTTGCAGAAGGTGTTCCTTTCTCACAGTGACAGAAAGGTTTGGCTGCTGTTTGATTATGCTGAGCATGATTTGTGGGTAAGTACAGATCTCCCCCAGAGTTTACGGTAGTCATGTTCAAATGGACGTGTGTGTGGCATACCTTCATATAGCACAGAGGCGCATGAATTTCTGGCTCTGTAATTAAGGGTCTAACTGGCAGTCTGTACACTTGAAAACCTGTAGAAGGCTATGTAGAATTTTTTTAAAGTCAGATTTCATTTTGAAGCTAGAAGAATTTTCCTACAAACTTTATTTGGAGTTAAAGAAAGCATTCCTAAATTGACACCTTCTAAAATAAAGTTTGGAAATGTACTTAGTATTTTCTTTTTCCTGCAGTTTTATATACACACACACACACACAGAGACACACACACAAGAAAAAATGAAAAAAAAGGAGAGGGACTGCTTTTCTGAGTCCTCTCACTGAGTTACAGTGGAAGTGACCAACATTCAGTCATCTAATTCTAAACAGTGAATTTGTGATAGTATGAGTGGAAAGAAAATAAGAGAGGAAAAAAAAAAAAAAGTAAGCACTGCTAATTGGGCCTACTGATGGACTATCACTACATGGAAGAGGAGTAGAGACTTAGATGTCTGGTTTTAAGTTTTCGGCAAAATATGATATGATTTGATTTAATCTGCTGTAGAAGTGGACATCAATGACATCACGAGTTGAACTCAGATACAAATACTCATTTTCCAAACCTGTTGATAAGATGCAAGTTGCTTGGGCCTGGATTTGTGTCTAAACCCAAAAGGTATCAAACACTTACTAGGAGTAATTGATATGTTTATAATTCCTATGAAAATACTGGCAAGGAGAGGAAGTGGTAGTAGTAATTCCAATATTACTTTTTAAGGCTTCAGTTATATAGAAGTTGCTATTACTAATGTTAGTGACAAATTGCTCAATTTTTTTTTTGTACTTCGCTCTCAAGAGCTAATGAATACGTACTTGTAAATGACACAAAATTGTAATCTGGAAGGAAAGTAAACTTAGACCATGCAAAAAGATACTTCTGGCTCAGAACAAATAAAGTCATGGCATTTCATTCCCCTTCATATGCTTAAAAAAGATTTAATTTGATTTCTCGTATGGGGTAGCAGTTTTGTATTTTAAAAGTTTTCGTTACCAAAGTTGAGTATGCTGAGAGTTTGTGTATTTATCACAGTTGGTGATAGTGATGAATAGGAATGCAGCAGCTAAAAGCCTGTATGGACAGAATTTATTTGTGCATCAAATGGGTTTACTCATTTTATAGAACAACCACCACAAACATATTTTACTGCTGCATTGAATGGCCTGTTTAAAACACCTTTTTTTAACCCTTTCCATTTGAATTTATTTTGGGCGTGTGGTTTTTTTACACTACGTGGTGATTTTTCACATGATTTAACAGCTTTAAATAAAGAATCACTGCAGTCTAATGTTCTCACCACTGCTCACGTCTGCCTGGGTATTGGTCATAATCTCAGTGAAGTTAATTCTTTTCTATTATTTGAGACTGAAATGTTTGTTACGGTAGTTATTTGATGTGAACTGGTCTCCCACTTCCTAACTTTTTTTTTTCTATGGGACATGCTACACAAATCATTTCTCCTTTCCTGTATAATTACCCATGTTTCCTTGCTTCTTAAGCCTTTGCCAGGAATTCTTTTTCCTCCCTTGCATAAATTTAGCCATGTTCAAGGCACTCTTGGTTCTGGCTTAACCTTGGTCCTCATTTCTTTTACTGTCAGCACTTCCCAAGCATCACTCTTAATTCCCCTTTTGTCTCTTTTGCTCACTCCCAACTTTGTGTCTTTTTCCACGCTGCCTCCTACACATGGAACAGCCTCCCAATTAACGTACGTAAAGATCCTTCACTATCCTCCTTCAAAAACTCCTGAAAATCCACTTACTTTGTAACGCATTTCAGTAATAACAACCACTCGTCATTCTGTCTGTGTTGTGTTGTGTTTTGCATTTCCTGTGCTTTACAGTTTGTGCCCTTTCAGCTCTTTGGGGTAGAAATTGTAGTAGGGGATTGGCACATTCTGTTGTTGCTTAGCACCGTGTGCTCCCCCAGCGCTACATAAAACCAAAATAAGTCTATTCATTGTGGGCATCAGTTTAGAAGGATTTAAGTTTTGGAATTGAAGATGTGCTGTCACTAGAGAGATGTAGATTCTCAGAGACCAGAGCTTTCACATGTAGGTAGCTTAGAGTTACTTACCGAAATTTGTCTGTACGTATGGGAATCGTCCTTCTGTTCAAAGCTGCCCAGCTTTAGTAACTCCTTTTGGCTTCAATGAGAAGAGTAAATGCTCATCACTTACAATCACCAGATTAATTAAAATCATTACATTTTTTCAGTTTCAGTACTGGAAACATTTGGCAAGAGATGAATAAGCTATATTAGATGCTATCTTATTCTGTTCGCTTTGTAATACTGAAATAAAATTGTCCCGTTCTAATAAGAAGTGAAGGTGCCAATTAAGCTTATTAAAAAGTTCTTTTATGGTGAGCAAGAACTTTTTTTTTCCACTTTGCATTTAATTCCCAAGGAGTAGACTGCTCAAAACTGATATCTGAGTATAGATAGCAGCATACTTTATAATTTGCTACAACTTCTGTTGATACCATGACCAAGGGATGAAGAAAGCTACGCTAATTTGAACTACTTTTGACAGGTATTGGTGAAGACTTGTGTTGTCCTTGCCTACAAATGTATTCACTGTTTAAACCTATAAAAGATTTTTCCTTCATCACCTCTCAAGTTACATTATACAAAACAATGCGAAGCCATTCATGAGATTACAATAAAGAATATCTAAGAATATAGGAGTTCTTTTGACCAGTTTATAACTCGTTTGCTTTAATTACCAAAACTCTTAGTGTAATCCACAGATGTTTTCCTTAGGATTTTTCTTGGCTGTTAGTCTCTGTCCACTGGTGAAGTCCTTAGGCTGTTGGATGTGCCACATACGTTCATTTATAGTGTATTGTCTACACTGTTATCACTGCTTACATATGCTCATGCTATGAAGTAAATGCGAGATTCCTTAGCTTGTACCTCAGTGTAAAAGGAGCATCTGACGCGGGGTTAAAAATGGTGTGTCCGCAGATGCCATTGAGTATCTCGTACGTTACAGACCACATCCTTTCTTAATTCCTGGTAACTTGCTTCAGTCTCACACCTTTATATTCCAGGTGTCTGAAACTTGCAGCTTCAGATGTTCGTAGCCACAGAACCAACCATCTCCTGCTGCTTCTGTTGTGAGGGAGGGAGGTTCCTTTTTCAATATCTACTCGTAAAGGCCTTGGGTACTTTTAATCCAGATTGTATCCAGGTTTTCTGCCTTGATTAATTTATGTTGGAATAAAAAAATGTAATTCAGTTAACACATAGCTGAGTTAATCTTAATTCCAGGAGTGGAATGGCTACTATTTTTAAGTTACCTTTTCCAGAACACAGTTAGAAGTGTATAGTCTTACAAAACTACACATGGAGATCATCTTTCCAAGAAAAAGTGTAATTCCTTCAATTGATATGTGTATTTTCCTGCTATGTTAATTTTTGACATTAAAAAAAAAGGTTGTTTTAAATGCATGAGGTTTTGCTGGTTTATCACTAAGGAATAACTTATTTTTCTATTCAACTTTCATGTATGTTCTATACTTTTACGGCATCAGATTTTTAGTATTGGAAATATTTTCTAAAGTCCACATTTCTGGTTTTAGTGCTGCAGATAAGCACACATTCAATGTCTTCAATTCCATAGTCTCTATGTTTTTAAATAGGATTTTTGATTTTAAGCAACATTTTTGTAACTTTTTCTTTTGTATCCTGAGTTGATAGGGTGTCTGCTTTTCTAGCTATGGTACAGAGTTAATTCTCAGGCTCATATAAAATGTGCGTGTAACTTGAAAGCTTTAAGATCCCCTTTTCTGGAAATCTGTGTTGTAACTTAAATCAAAAGCTTCTGAAATTTGTTTTTAATCACATTCTGAAAAACAGTGACAGTTTTGTTACAGTAAAATGTGTTGAATGTGTTTTATAGCTATAAAAACCGTTGTTAGTTCTTAATAAGTGATTAAATAACTTATTAACTATGATTTGATAATATTGAATGTGATGGTACATTCACTATTGAAGACCAGTTAAACCATGATCTCAGTCATTTTTAGGTTTTGTTGAATGTTTCTCTCTTATTATTAGATTCCAGTAATCTCTAACAACTAACTACTTAGCAGCAAATACCACTGACAAACGTGCAATAAAATTCATCTTGAACTTGTTGTTGATAATAATAAAAATATATGGACAGACTGGCTTTGTATTGTATGAAATACTTATTACGTATACATTCTGCTTTTTAGAAATGTAGGCTAGAGATTATAAGCATAGTTGTGTGTACCTAAAGTAATCATCAAATAGTGGAAAGGAGAAAATATTCTTCCTACATGTGAATTTCATAATACTAGCTGACTCTCTCAATATACAAATAAATATACTTAATTTCAGCTAACAACATTTTGAATAACGTTCTTATATGCTAAATGAAACTATGAGGGTGTAGCATACTGATTTGTACGATAAACCTGCATGTCTTTAATCACATAATGTTTTCTAATAGATCTGAGTTCTAAAGCATTCCTCAAATATGGTGTAATCAGTTACAATGCTTTCTTGCACTAGACTTCAGTTTAGCTCTTAATCATGAGGATGATTCAGATGCTAGTTGATCACAAATACTTTTATATACACAACAATATTTTTCTCAGTGTAGCAGTTTTAATTTTTCTCTTTTAATTTTCTACAGTCATGTGTCTGGTTTTGTTTTAATTCAGTCCTGCCCCACAAGGTGATTCTTTGTGAAGTCTTCTGTCATGTGCATATTTGCCAATATAGGGTTCCGCTAGCTGGCGGAAGGATGGAAGATTTGTTGGGGCAAAGGGAGTGGGCTGGCATAAGTCTTGATTGCTTTAAAGTTACAGTTTTTATCATCAGCCATTGTTAGGGAAAGTCTTTATGGCATGATTTCTCCCTTCC